CTGCCTACCTATGGGCAAAAGACACTCTAAACCTTTCATTGAAGAGGATATGCAGATGGAAGATAAAAATGTGCAAAGATGTTCAGCATTATTAGCCATTTGGGAAATGCAAATTAATTAAAGCCACAATAATGTATCACTGCCTACTCAATTGTGATAAAACCAAATGCTGGTGAGGATGTGGAAAAGGAGTCATCAAACATTGCTGGTAGGGGTGTTAAATGATACAGCCTCTTTGCAGAACTGTTTGGCAGTCCCTTTTAAAACTGTAAATGAATCTGTAATACCAAGAGCAGGCAATTCTACTCTTGGGTGTTTGTCCCAGAGAAAACTTATTTTCACAAACATTTTGTCATTAAGTCACTAAGTCATGTCTCACTCTCTGCAACCCTTTGGACTATAGCTCACCAGGCTTTCTTTTCCTGTCCATGGCATTTCCCAGGCAAGAATGCTTGAGTGGGCTGCCATTTCCTTCTCCAGGGGATCTTCCAAACACAGGGATTGAACTCACTTCTCCTGCGTTGGTAGGCAGATTCTTTACCACTGTGCCACCAAGAAAGCTCAAGAAGCTTTTAACATGAGTGTTATTAGCAACCTTACTCTTCATAGTCAAAAACATGAAACCCAAGAGTCCGTCAGCGGGTGAATGAGTGAATAAAGCATAGCATTTCCATACCATAGTCTGCTACTCAACACTCAGATAGAACATACCATTGAGTCTTGTGTCCAGTGCCTTGAATGGACTGCAGGGGAGCAAAACCAAGTGAAAACCATCAACAGGAGAAGGATACATACTGTGTGTATATATATAGAAGTTGTTGAAATATAATTGTAGAGATGGAGAACAAATCAGCAGTTGACAGGCAGGGATAGAGTAGAAAATGTGGCTGTGAAGTGATATAGTAACGGTACAGTTAAGTATCTTGATTTGATGGTGGTCTGACAAAGCTGTAGTAAGATGGTCTGTTGCAGATATAAAAATGTGCATGTGTAAGCAGTGAAATCCTGTGGTCCATCCAGGGCCAGCTTCCCAGTTTGGATAGTGTACTGCAGTAATACAAGATGATACAGCTCAGAGAGACTGGATGAAGTTTACGCAGGACGTCCCTGTACACTCCTTTTCTTCTTTCTTGTTAGCTATAATATTTCAAACTAAAATGTTCAAATTCCTACAGAGGCATATAAGGAAATCTGGAGGAAAATGCTGTTAAACTTTAAGTTTCTCAGATGGTAGATTTATGAATGTTTTGTCTTTATTTTATATGTTTCCTATGGTGAACTTACATGATTTTTATGAGAAAAAGATACTGACATAAATAGATGCAATCAAAACTAATTTCCAGTGGAAATAGTAATTGCACAATTTGCTCAAAAGGGTACATTTACACTTTGAACTTGGAGGCCGTTGGTAGCCTTGGAAAATTTTCAGAGCCATAGTGGGGTCAGAACCCAAAGTGTAGCCGATTAAAAAATAAATGGGAAGCAGAAAAATGTAGGTGACAAATACAAACAGTATACTTCCAGCAAGCTGATAGAAAGAGATGGGTAGAGGGAAGAGGGCTTCGGTCAGTAAGCTGGGAGGCTCCTGGAGTGCCACTGCTGCTGCAGGAAGAGAGCGGGGCCCTGACGAGTCCTTTTGGCAAGGAGCTTGTTGCACCCTTGGGATAAACCGTGAGATCACGTGTCCCTGTGTGGCTGGGCGGGTCACTTGCAGTCTAGGTATGCAGCGCGCCTGCGAGCAGGGAACTGGAGCTCGCATGTTCCCTGTCCTGTGTGTGTTTAGTATGTAAGCAAACACGTAGACATGATGGGCCTATGTAGAGAGAGATTTTGATTCGGAGTTTAGCTGACCTCCAAAGAGTTTTAAAGCTCTGTTGACTCCAGTGGCTAATAAAAGTGTAGCTGGTCTCTATAAATATTGATTAAGTTTGGGGTTTAATTGCTTTCTTCTGTTCACTGAATGCATCGGTTAAATTGATCAAGGAAAATGCCAGGGTCTGTTTTCAGTTTATCAGCTAAGTACCTAGGTCTGCTCAGTACTTGCCAGCAGAAAGAGTGGCCCCAGGCTGTTCCTAGGTAAGGTGCTGCTGTAGCTGTAGTCATTCTGTAAACTTAGTACATTACGTGATGCACAGGGCATCCTGCACAACCTGGCAGCTCTCTATGGAGGCAGGCCCAGCTCTTCACGAGGAGGGAAGCCAAGAAACAAAGAGGAAGAGGTACGCCTCCCGCATGCTCGCTGCCTGGCACCGTCACTTTGAGTTGATTGCCTTCCTTCCCTGCATGGTTTACGTTCTTCACGGTGATTGGAGGATTTGTAGGTCTGTAGGGACCTGTTAATATATCTTGGCTGACATACTGTGTTATGATTTTGCTCCATAACTGCTTTTCCGTATTCTGATTTCAGTTTCTTTCAATAAAATTAAAAATTTGTCACTGTAATGTATTTCTTTTCATAAATAAATTGATCTAAATTAAACACTTGAAAGCTAATATTACATTCCCATTAACCAGATCTCAAAATTTTATTTCTTATATTCCCATTAACACTTTCCTTTAAATTAAAAACATTTTAGCATTAAAAATATTGGTAGTTTTTTTTTTAATTGAAATGTTGCCCTTTTTTTCTCTTTGTAGGTTTATTTGGCAAGACTAAGACAAATAAGATTGCAGAATTTCAATGAACGCCAACAGATTAGAGCCAAGCTTCGTGGTGAAAAGGCAGGTTGAAAATCTATTTTTCAAAAAGTACTTGAATGACGTTATAATATATTGAGATTAAAAATGCTATGCCACTAACACAAGATAAAATCTCACGAAGACAATGAAAGCCAAAGACCAGAAAAACTATATATAGGAATACAGAAAATCGTATTTATATGACTTAAAATTGATAAGACCTGTTGTTCCAGTGGAATTCTGAAAGTGTGAGTAGTAGCCATGGACATATAAAAGGGGACATTTTATATCATTCTCTTTTTATCTGTTTTTCCCAGTGTCCATAGGAGTTGATGGTTCTGGAGAGTTCAGTTGTAGCTCTGAATAAATTACCATTTTTCATTTTTAGATGTTTATTTATTCATACAAACTCTGCAGTGAATTTGAGGTTCTATCCTAAGTGCTGCTGTGCTCACTACTTATTTTGTAGAAGGAAACTGACAGCTCTGAAGATCAAGAAGGAAGTGAGGAGGCCGATGTGAGGCGTAAAAAGGTGGAAGCCCTGAAGGTATGTACTGGAGGTAATAGGGGTTTTCTTAGAGAAAAGGGAAACCCGAGATAGAAAATTCTGTTCCTAAGTCTTTCATCGTTAAATCACCTTATTCTTTTGCCTTAACTTTTCTTTGTCCTCACTTTGTTTCTGAAAAGTAGCATTTCTCTCTCTCTTTATATCTTATTTATGGAGAGCAATTTGATGAAAGCATGGCATAAATACCTGGAACTTTCACACAAGTAATCTTAAAAAGAGAAAATGGTAACCCTAAAAATGAAAAACATAGTGTCCATTTCTGTGAAGACAAGTTTGTGCATAATAGTCATGTTTTAAAACTTTTCCATTTTTATTTCCTTTTGAATGTACATTCATTTATTTTCATTCCAGAGATACTTATTGAGCAACTGCTGTGTTTTGACACCTGGTTTAGGTGCCGGGTTTGCAGCTTAATGTTTGTATTCCGGAGGGGCACCCCCCCGCAACACACACACACACACACTCTCGGCCACACTGTCTCACACATAGACGTGCATTCACATACACTGTTGTTTAGTCACCCAGTCGTGTCTGACTCTTTGTGACCGCATGGACTGTAGCCCCCCAGGCGCCTCTGTCCATGGGATTCTCCAGGCAAGGATACTGGAGTGGGTTGCCATTTCCTTCTCTGGGGAATCATCCTGGCCCAGGGATCAAACCCAACTCTCCTGCATATACGGTGGATTCTTTATAACTGAGCCACCTAAGAGGCCTGTACACATATACACTTACACACAACCCTAACCAAAAAAGATTAATGTGTGTTTGTATGTAAGCATATATGGAAATACTTTTTAGACCTGGAAAGAAAGGCAAACCCCATGCCTTTCTTTCTGGCGTTAATTTTGTGGATTGTCCTCCTCTGCAGGCCCAGGCAAGTGCCCGTGCAGCCGTCTTGAAGGAGCAGCTTGAGCGCAAGCGGAAGGAGGCTTACGAGAGAGAGAAGAAGGTGTGGGAGGAGCATGTAAGCCGAGACCCCTGTGAGGACCCTGCCTTTGCCGCCCTCCCAGCTCTCAAGGGAGCTGTGCCAGCCACAACCCTGTGATTCTGTGTTTTTATTCTCATTCATTTCTCTGCGTCTGTCTCTTTCATCAATTAAGGATAATGATCTATGTGGAAGTTATTTTGGTATTTGATGTGAGGTGAGATAAAATAGTATTTGTATTTATCTATACTTCCAAGAGTAGCTAAGTTGACAATTTCATGTGTTTATAAATCTGGCCTCAGTATTTGGTGAAATTTTGAGTTTTGTCATTAGGTGTCACTGTTGATTAATTTTTCAGCAACTAGTGTAGTTGACAGATAAAATAGAAACAGTTTTACAGTGATAATTAAAAACCTTTTGTGAAGATATAAGCAATATAGAAAGTCTTGACTGTATTAACCTGGTAATGAAATAGCTACGGGAAAAAGCTTCCAAAGCAGTTTGTTTCCTAACCCTCACTTATGAAACTTTCAGATCAGTGTTTTATTCCTTTTGCACATTTACAACAACTTTGACTGAATTTTTAAAAAGCTTCTTAGAGTGAAGTAGATATTCTAAACTTAGCCAGGTAATCAATTTGTAACAAAATGGGTTATATCTGTTTTGAAGTTTTATGTTTTTTTCTTCTATGAAACTTTGTGTTTTTTCTTAACTTAGTTAATTTTTATGTTGTTTTTTTTTAAATGTCAGTATCTTTCTGAATTAAGGACTCAATCTAATGTTTTCTCCTTTCAGAAATTAAAAAATACATGATGGTCTTCTGTCTTACAGTCTGGTTAATTTTGAATAGCGTTAACATTTCTGTCTAAAAATAATATATCCATGATGTTTACACAGAAGGCCCAAGTTCTCCTGTATTAATAAATGTATTAGAGGGTCCCAGGACAAGAAAGAGGATTGGCGTGAACAACCATGGCCGGGCACCGCTTCCCAGTACCCCGATTCGAGGGCGTTTCGCAGGAGCAGTTCATAGAGCACGTGTATCCGCAGAGAAAACCTCTAGTGTTGGAAGGAGTTGATTTGGGAGCGTGTATGAGCAAATGGACAGTGGATTACCTCAGCCAAATCGGAGGGAGGAAAGAGAACTTTACCTTTTGACAAGTTGGTACAAAGGGCAGCTGAAGAAAAGCATACGGAATTCTTTATTTCAGAGGATGAGAAGTACTACCTTCGATCACTTGGAGAAGACCCTAGAAAGGATGTTGCAGATATCAGAAAGCAGTTTCCTTTATTGGAAAGAGACATTAAGTTTCCAAAATTCTTCAAAGAAGAGCAGTTCTTTTCCAGTGTTTTTCGAATCAGCTCACCAGGATTACAACTTTGGACACACTATGATGTAATGGAGAATTTCTTAATACAAGTGACAGGAAAAAAGCATGTTGTACTGTTCAGTCCTCGAGATGCCCAATATTTATATTTATTAGGTTCTAAGTCAGAAGTACTGAACATAGATAACCCAGACTTAGCTAAATATCTGCTGTTTTCCAAGGCTAGAAGGTATGAATGTTTCCTTAAAGCTGGAGATGTGCTATTCATTCCTGCTTTATGGTTCCATAATGTAATTTCTGAAGAGTTTGGAGTGGGAGTGAATGTCTTTTGGAAGCACCTTCCATCTGAATGCTATGATAAAACGGATACCTATGGAAACAAAGATCTGACGGCAGCATCAAGAGCTGTACAAATTTTGGACAGAGCCTTAAAAACACTGGCTGAATTACCAGAGGAATACAGGGACTTCTATGCACGGCGAATGGTCTTGCACATTCAAGACAAAGCCTATAGCAAAAACTTTGAATGAATAAGGAAATGAATGCAGTGAGCATAAACTTTTAAATACAGTTCAGCCCAAATATTGGAAAAGTGTAACAAGATGTAAATTAGTTTTTTAAAGATTTAATCTTTTTTAAAATAGGAAAGATAAATCAATCTCAGATTTACAAAAAAAATAAAAATAAATGTATTGCTTGGCTTATAATGGTGTTTCCACATCTCAGTAGTTACTCTGAATTACCCTTAGTTTTTTAATAAATGAATTAGTTTTGTTTTAAAGTAATTATGAGAGTTAGGAAGATGTTCTCTTTGTTTTTGTTCTTTGGTTTGAATTTCGTATGTCTTTCTTTACTTGTTATCCTCAGGTTCTTTATGTCTGTTTAGTTGATCCAGGGAGAGACAAGTAGATGTTTGATCACAGTGGAAGTATTTCCTGGAGGCTGCTCGGGATCCTTCTTATTAGATGCCAGTGACTTTCTTAGACCATGGATCAGATATCTTCAGAGACTGTACTAGTCATTAGCCATATATGTGGCAGCCATATAGATTTTAATATAATACAGAGTAGATTTTTAATAATAATGTGTGAAACATTTTCTTCATTAAAATACCTTCTGTTGATTAAAAGAAAAGATTTTTTTTCCAAGATAAGTTGTGTGAAAAGAATGTAACAGCTCTCCCTCCTGTATCTTGATCCTGCTGGACTGAATTTGGTGGTCTTTGTTCTCATGCCCTGTTTAACTCATAACATTTATCAATAAGTATTTTTATCTATTAAGATTTCTCTTAAGGTTGAAGTTAATATAGATTGTGCCTTTGGTGTTTTATCTGAAAGTCACTGCCAAACCCAAGGCCCTCTGGGTTTTCTCCTGTGTTATCTTCCAGGGGCTTTTGTGGTTTTGACTTCTACGGTTAGGTCAGTAATCAGTTGTGAGCACTTGTCAGGGTGTCAGGTTGTTTCTGTGTTTGCCTGTGGGTGTCCAGTAGTTCTAGCATCGTTTGTTGATAAGCAGTCTGTGCTTTCTGCAGTGATTGCCTTTGCTCCTTTGTTAAATGCAGTTGACTGTATTTGTGTGGGTCTGTTTCTGGTCTCTCTGGTCTGTTCCATTGATCTGTTTTCATTATTATCACACTGCCTTGATTACCTCAGCTTTCAGTAAGTCTTGAAGTCAAGTAGTATCATTCCTCCAACTTAGTTCTCCTCCTTCAGTTTTATGTTGGCTATCTCCATCTCCTTTTGAACAAAATAGTTGTTGGTATAAAATGAAAGACCAGAGAACTAAATGCTAGAATTGGATTACTATCTTATGCTTAGAACATGCTCAATAAATACTAGTTTAAAATATTTATATTGATATTTTTCATCAGAAATTCTTGTTTACTTGTTTCAAGAAGAGGTAGTAGTTGGGAGTGACTTGCTACCGTGTTCCTGTGAGCAGACTGAGAAATGCCATTTCCTTATACTTACTGAAAGTTCAGAACATGATTTCACATTGTTTACAGAGTCTCCATGGCAAGATAAAAGCAAAAACATGTGAAAATAACAAATGATATTTTCAGTGAAGTAAATCATATTACCTGTACTTTTCACGTCTTCCTTTCTTATTTATGTTGACATTTTATAATCAGGGCTCTCATATTGGGTAACTGATGTTCATATGTTAAGATTGTGCCAAACTTTAGAATTTGCAGAAGCATCTCTTTTTGAAGTATAAGATTAGTAAATAAGCTTTTTTTGTTTTTGCCAGAATTAGTAAGGGGTTGAAATTAGAGCACTAATGTTTAATCTTTTAGAAGGCAATTGTAAAACATTGTTAATGCAGTGGAAAGGAGTTATTCAGCACCATGGGACACATGGATGTGTTTACATGTGAGGTCAGAGACATGTCTGTCTGTTCACTGATACTTCCCCTGCACTTAGTACATTGCCTTGCACAACAAAAATTGAGGAATGAAAAAACTTCTTGTGGTTAGAGCGTATAGGCAGTGATCTTACATATATACCACTTTATCTCTTCATGCAAATATAAATTTGCCAATGTGCTTACATTCTTATTACAGTTGGTGGCCAAAGGAATAAAGAACTCAGATGTGTCTCCGCCTTCAGGGCAGCAGGAAATGGGGGGTTCTCCATCAAAGCAGCCGATGAGACCTGTTATTTCTGTGACTTCGGCTTTGAAGGAAGTGTGTATGGTAAGCTTTCTATAATTTAGAACTCCTCAAAGTCAAAGAATACTAAAGGGACTAAATTTACTTAAATTACATTAATTCTTAATGTCTGATTAGGTTTTTCTAGGGAAAAAATTACTGCTTAAGATTTTCATGTATGGTTTACTCTTGAGTATTGGAGCCTCACTGTTGTTAGGTTTCACATATAAGACCACCTGATAGATAAAAATGTATTAAAATGATTCCCCAATACTGTAAAAGACTCTTGGACAAAAAAATATAAAAATGTATGAAAAATAATGCAAAAAAACACTTTTATTTGCTGGCACTCAAAATTAGCAGAAGTTCATTTCTTGGTATAGCAAATGTTAGAGGACTCAGCATAATTGCAGTTAATTCATCATTTATTTCTTTAAGCTTCTACTTTTGAATCTCTATCATGCCATTGGGAGTATAAAACAAAGAACTGTGGGCAGGTAAAAAGTTTAAACTTGGAAGTACATAGCGGGTATCCATCTGAAATGTGAAGCACTCTATTCTGAGGTTGAGGGAGAGGGACTCCTGATGTGGGATTCTAGCCTGGAACTCAGCAGGCCAAGGAACAGTCTCCTGAGTCGTGTTACACCTTAACCTGATTCTTTCCTTTCCTGGTTGTTGAAGTCTGTGCCTATTATTTGTTGAATTTCATTCAGTTTTGGCAGACAGAACTGATGTTATTGAAGCACACCAATTTTCTACAGCCTCTGTGTTTATCTTGGAAATGAGATTATGTAGGAAGTACCAGTCTTGGTTAACTCTCAAGAACTCCCAGGAACTTGAGGAACTCCCTGCTGTTCCTCGAGAACAGCAGGAGAGCACTGTTGCTCAGGCAGGGTTCGTCTCCGCTCCTCTCTGGTAACGACTGTGTGTGCGCTCTTCACCCCACCCCTCAGATGCCATGTACGGGCCCTGCCCGGTCCCAGTCTCACCCCACGTAGCTGCTCACCTCTCTGGTTGTAGCGACTGCTAATTCCTGCCACTTCACTGGGTAAAATGCTTTTTGTCTGATTTACAGGTGTAACTCTGAAACTGACCACTATTTAATAAAATTTGAGGTAATCCGTGTAACCAAACGCTTCTCCTTTATGGGTTTTCTTGGTAAATTATCATTTGCTTAAAACTTTGAGAACTGCTTTTCCTTACCCCGAGTCTTCCAGGTACCTTTGATTTCATGGTTTTTGTAACTACTAATTTCTCTTTTTTTATGTATTTCATATACTAGTTGGTCTAATTACTTTGATTATACTAATCAGAAAACAAAATTTATTTTAGCATTAGCACAAAGTACACAGGACTCTTTACTGTTACTCTTTGTTTAGGGAGAAAAGCCAGTTCTCAATTATCTTTAGTAAGTAGTACGGCTTAGTAACAATATATGTACCTGAAACAAAGACAGCTTACAAACAACACACCCTCTCTTCATTATTTGTCAAAATGTCCCTAATTCTAATTGAGTATAAAAATTAAATTTTTAAAAATTTCTGTCATAAATTTATGTTTATCAAAAATCAGGTGCCAAAGAGGAAGAGGATATAGTTAAATAATAGGAAGAGGATATAGTTAAATATCTGATCTAGTAACACAGAAATGTGACAGTAATTGAGAATTGGCCATTCTAGCATATTATCACATCTGTTAGATGATAATAAGTATTTCTCATGCTGATAATGAAGGAAGCTATATTAACATTTTGCAGGAATAAAAAAACAAGGACCATGGAATGCTAATGAAAAACAAAAAGTAAAAATATCAAAAATTTTAAGGTATGCTTTAAAATAACATTATTTCTTACTCTCTGTGTTTAAAGGACAGAAGTCTAACTGATGCCCAGGAAACCTCAGAAGAAATGCAGAAGAGTAACAGTGCTGTTTCAGTAGGTACAATTTTCAAATTTCCTGTCAATCATTCCACTTAGTCATATACCTATTAAAATGCAACATTTTAACTGTTTCAGAGTAAGCGAGAAATACTACGTAGATTAAATCAAAATCTTAAAGTTCAAGAAGATGAAAAGGGAAGGCAGAGTCGTCCTGAAATGGATACAGTAACTGCTCATGAAGATACCAAAGAGCTGGAAAAAGAAAAGTCAGTTTCATCGGATCGAAAAAAATGGGAGACAGGAGGCCAGCTTGTGCTTCCTGTGGATGAACTGGCCCTGGACGCTTCCTTCTCTGTGACAGAAAGTGCGTATGAGCGCACTCAGGTGCCGTCTGGTCCGCCCCAGCCCCCTTGTGGCCATGTGGCTGGACACTCTGAGGATGCCCCATGTAGAGGGGCTGAGAGCCTGGAGGGGGTTCTGTAATAAGTGAGACATGGAGGAAACCATTCAGCTTCGACATGGGAGGGCTTTCACCTTTTTTTTCTTTTTTAACATTCTTTTAAGCTTTCTTTCTTTAAACATTGTTCTTGGTTTTGGTTGCACTGGGTCTTTGCTGCTTTGCTTTCTCTAGTTGCAGCAAGCAGAGGCTGCTCTCTCCGTGTGGTGTGTGTGCAGGCTCCTCAGTGCAGTGGCTTCTCTTGTGGTGGTGCACAGGCTTACAGGCAGTTGCAGTACGTGGGCTCTAGAGTGCAGGCTCAGTAGTTGTGGCACACAGGTTTAATTGCTCCAAGACATGTGGAATCTTCCTGGATCAGGAACTGAACCCATGTCTCCTGCATTGGCAGGTGGATTCTTATCCACTGTGCCAGCAGAGAAGTCCCACGAGAGGGTTTTCCCCAACAATCTGTGATGTGAGAGCAAGAACGAATGGCACGCATGTAACCTGTGTTACTCCAGCCCTTCCTCCCATCTTAGAGTCACCTGTCACCAGGAGTAATTCTTGGTGAGAATCAGAGGAGTGCACTTGGGCAAAACCTGGGAAGGTCAGGGCGGTATTGAGCAGACCTGTGGAGAGTCTCATAGGCCATCCCTTTGCTCAGCGAGGATTCCTAAGCCCCTGCCCTTGTCTCACATTGTCCCAGCCCTGGAGTGCAGCGGGG